ACAAGATATTTCCAAATTGGTAGAAAGTATGCCGAGATGTAATTAAGCCAAGAGGAATATGCGATATTGAAATGCTAATTAAAAGTCTAAAACAAAATTAAAATAAATTTTATCTGTCAGTCTTTTTTAATTTTTTTTATATTTTCCTTAGCTGTACATTTTTTTATTAACTTTTTAGACAAAGACTCAATTATTAAACGTTAAAAAATGTGAAACTTTGATTAATATATAAAAATAAATACAAATCGAGTTATATTACTAGTGGGCGGAATTTTTTCCCCCGTCAGTGTAATATTTTGTTCTTCTTTAAATTTAATTATTTTTGAGAAAAGTATATAATTTTTCAGCTAGTTGGTTGTTTAATTAGTACTCGGCATGACCAACACTTCCGCAATGTGTGCAAGTCATGCGGGTTTAGTATACCGGCTCTATCTCAACTCATGCGTGGTCGTACGTGTTCTTTTAATTAATAACAATTCAACTCTTTTCCTTTTTTATATTTTTATGTTGTCCGATCACTTCTTATTGCAATTTTTTATATGTGTTGCTGAAAATAATTACCTGCGTATTATTGCCACCGACGCTCAGTAATAACAAAAATCGTCAAGGGACTGCTTCAACTCAGAAAACTGATTAAGTTAATTTCATTTCATCTACTGCATTCCGCCTTTTCTCATGTTATAAAATGTAATCCAATCCTCCTATGATTGAATACCAGTTTTTGAACTGGTTTTTCTATCATGAAACGAGGAATAGATAACAAAATTTTAATTTTTTTTGCTGTAAAAAAGTTATTTTTTAAATTTAATATACAAATCTGTGAATTGTCCAACGTAGCCGTCATTATTTCTTCCTTCTCAATAATAATTATTGGAGCAATTAATATTTTATTTTTCTTCAGTGCTTCGACAATTGTCGTTCCTTGTTGAAAATGTGTGACGACCGAGTGACAGATATGGATCTTTTAAAAATGAATTTGAAGATAAACAGTCAGTGAAACGGGTCATAAATTTTCTTATGTTAGATAAAAGGTTTTTAAAAAAACTAGAGAGAAATACAGGCAACGATTATGAAGAAAACGTTGAAAACTGGAGAACAAAATTTTTGTGAAAGAAAATCTCGCTTCAATAACGAATGTCTTTTACTGACAAGAGGGCTACTAAACGATTGTAAAGTGTCCGATTTCATTTTTCTTTATTATTCAGGCTTTAAAAAGTGTTATTTGACTTTTTTTAACTACTTCAGAATTTAAACTATATTAAAAAAATAAATATGTCAATAGACTGTACAATTAAAAATATAATATGCAATAAATCTTATCTGTCGTAAAAAAGACTTGATTACTTTTCTAGTTGAAGTTTTTTGTGCTTCCTTTTACATACCATATCTGTTCGAATTAAAAACAAAATTTACAAGGATGATGGCCGTTCGTCAAGTGGTCCTACCAGAACCTCGTATAATATTTCTAAACAATTTGGGCTTATTTGATTCATTGTGAAATTCAAAAATAAATCCTATTCTAATCGTAAATTGCAAAAGTAAAATAAAAAATACGAATAGACATTCATTCCCATGTCCAAAACGTTAAGATTTGTTGAAGCGGAATCAGGTCGGTCCTGAAGTCTATCGAGGGTTAAATTCGGTCAATGAAGCACACCGTGTAACCTGTTATTTACTCTGAACCACTTCCCGATCATGCTCCTAATGGAATTACAATCAAACAGTTAACGGACAACTTGCTTGGAAATTTTTTTCTTTACATCGAACAGATATGGAATTAAAAAAAAAAAATAAATAAATAAACACAAGAAACTTAGCCTAAACGCTATCGAGCAATCAAGTCTCGATCAATTTTTTTGGTTTGCTAAGATAGTTAAGATTTATTCATTGAACATCATTTTTTTTACAATGATTTAAATTCTACAATATATTGACATATTTATGATTTTAATGTAGTTTAAATGAATTAGTTGAAAGCACTGGGTAACACAAAAAAGGAAATTTAGTTCATGTTTTACTACTATCAATTTAATAAACGTATAGAAGAAAAACATGATTGATCAAATTTATAACTTCAACAGAAAGTTACTTCGTCCTCCAAGCAATACACATAAGGAGGATCCAATCAAGATCTTTTCGTACTTTAAAAAAATAAATAAATTTTAATTATTTCGAACACGAAATAATTGATATAGAAATATAAATCTGAGCTATTTATCTAGTCTATTTAACTAGCAATTTTGCGATTCGACTTTTTTTTTTTAACAAGGGTTCGCAATAGCAGAGATCATATAAACCCTCACGGTGCCGGTGTTTTTGAAAAAAAAAAAAAAAAAAAACATTTGTAAGTATTAGTAATTCAGATGTGAGATGCGGTCGGGTGTGATGTAGGTTTCAGAAAAACATTTTTTTTATCGTGCCAACGTTTCGATCTTTTATTGAGATCATCTTCAGGGCTCAAAGTGTTTGTCTTCTGTGTAATTGTGCCCAAGAGTGGGGCACTTTCAACACGACACGCAAGGATGGCACAATTACAGAGAAGACAAATACTTTGAGCCCTGAAGATGATCTCAATAAAAGATCGAAACGTTGGCACGATAAAGAAAATGTTTTTCTGAAACCCACATCACACCCGACCGCATCTCACGATATCTGAATTACTATCGATTAACGGTCACTAATCTCTACACATTTGTAAGTATGTCGGGGGACCTTTACCTTACAGAGATGAGCGCCGTGTCAACGCCTAAAAGGTCGATTCATATCTACTAGCACAAGAGCGTTTCCAGCACGTAGCGCGGCAGACACCTCACAGACACTAGTATTCTTATTATGCGGTAATCACAACAACGGACACCTACAAACGAAGAAACTATTCTTCAGAAAACCAATGGATAGGATTGTTGTCCGTGTATTACAAATTACGTTCATTTCATCCCATAATATTCTTATAATATTATTTATATTCTTATTTATTATTATATATTTTTGTAAAATAAAATTAAAAAAAAAAATCTTGAATATGTACAGATCGGCGATTCGGATTTTAGCCCGAATTCGGATTAGCGCAAGTTCGGTTTACCAAGACTGGACATTATAATTAAAATTATAATGAAATTTATTATAGGTAGGCATCTAAGCTATTGGAATTGCACAAATCTTGTCTGTCGTCTATTCATACTAACCGTATTGAACCGCACAGACAAGAAAAGACGACCACAGACACGTGCCAGCACAAGCAAAACATTCTCGGAGACAATGCTGCCCGGTGCTGGTACGTGTCTGCACTTACACGCTCCGCAAACGTTCGCTAAGTATGAACGTTCCTATATGTTTTGTATGTAATGATGTTTTTTGTGTCTGCCACGCTACGTGCTGGACACGCTCTGTGCTGGTAGGTAAGAATCGACCTTAAACCATTGCGGCCACCGACGCCCCGGTTCGTCTATTATCCCTAGTAAATATTAACTCCACACTGAGAGAGTGTGTTGAATCGCGATCGAACTCCGTTCGAGTTATTTATGAGATTCAAATTGATTCCATCTTCAAAAACGGGCTTCTCTGCATAATTTTTATGACATCGACTGCCCAAACATACCTTTTTCCTATCAACACCAGAATTTCTTAACGTTGTATGAATTCCCTTGATCCCAAGAAAAGAGAATAATTTGTAAAGTTATCGCGACACGTCTTTTTATAGCAAGAGCGTCATGACAAAAAGTTTCCTTACAACCTAAGCAAAATAGCTAACACCATGAGCATTAATTATAAAAACAATGGTACATTCATCTTAGAAGGCGCTGAATGCAAAAACTTTAACATTTATCTTGATACTTGAGAATAATAGGTCGGTAAAATTTAAAACAAATAAACTTTATGCAACTTGCCAACGAATATTGTAGTAATTGCTTTTTCTTTCAATCTATCAGTCTCAATAAAAAATAAATGAATAATAGAACAATTTAGGCATTAACGTTGATTAATTATACGGTAAATGCTTCCAGCTTATCAATCAATCCGACTAATTACTTATTTAGATTGGTAATAGTCATTAATATAAATGCAAAAGGATTTCTGGAAAGAAATTTAATTTCACTAAGAAGGAGCGGTTATCCAGCGATTCGAACCCGACATACTTACAAATGTTTTTTTTTTAAACGCCGGCACCCCGAGGGTTGATATACTCTCTGCTGTTGCGAACACTCTTTAAAAAAAAGAAAAAAAGAAGAGGTTACGCACTTGGAGAAACATTTTTTTATTGATATCACTAATTTGAACAGTGTTAGAGACATGGTGTTACCCAAGAAAATGTTTGTATTCTGCCTTTGTTCTCCACGTATTGCAAAGTTATGATATCTTTAATTCACTATTTTCGTGGTCCGCTTGACCAATTAATAAAAGACAATTAATTAAGGTTTTTAGTTGAGATAAAATTCAAAAGGTGCGGTTGAGATGCGAAGTTGATGTCCGAGTGGATCGAGGTCACGATAGCTCACGTGGTAGAGCAGCGGCGTATCAAGCCGAAGATCGTGGGTTCGAATCCCGCTCGTGCCATTGATTTTTTTAATCCCAACTAGGTACTTTGATTAATTGTAATATATTAATTGGTCAAGCGGACCACGAAATTAGTGAATTATTATAATTATGCTATTTTGTTTGTGTGGAAAATTTCAGCTCAAAAAAGGGTAACCTTTAAACGCTTGACCCGTTAAAATTTTTACTCAAGGTTTTAAAATTCCACTATTTCAATAGAAAAGCGAGAGAAATAAATGAGAAAGGTAGCCCTTTGACAGAATAGAATTCCACATCGTTCGTTTTAATACTTTTGAATTGACTTCCCTCAGAGAAAAAGTCTTCTATATTTATTGAAAGATGATTTCATAAAAAGGAATAAAATAATTCATGCGTGTATTTCTATTCAGTTCTAAACCAAATCTATATTTTTTTACTCTGCTTAAAGCAAAATATGAAATCAAAAATTGTAAATAATAAATTCGTACCTGGAAGGGTATTGCGAAAAGCCCGATAACGATGTCCGCAAGGGCGAGGTTTGCTATGAAGCAATTCGTCACATTTTGCATACGCCTGCTGGTAGCCACAATCCACATGACGAGAAAGTTTCCGACCACAGCTACAACAGATATAGACCCGTAGAACACTGACAGCAAGACTATAACTCCGGCCGGAACTTGGTAAAGACCTGCAAAACGCAATTTCTATGTCAACTGCAACATTTTGTATATGGAGAAAATGATGTTAGTCGGCAACAGCAGCAATAACCGTAATAAGTCCGCATGTCCTTTTGAACACAATCGGAAAAGGTGACGCAAACGGGAGCGCATGCGGTCAGTAATAAATAACTGATAAATCCGCCAAATCGGAATTGCCATTGACATTTGTAGAATATTAACCGCGCAAATAGCCCTCAAGCTCTGTTCCCTCTTCGAATTCCCGAAATATACTGAATTTTACACTCGATTCGTGGAGTTACATCATTTTAAATTGAGGTACAAAAATTGAAATAACACGTGGTTTTTGGAAGAATGATACTTTCTCTGAATGAATATTTAAATTTCCTTTTCTAAAATGTAAGGTAAATATTTATATTTAGATTGGATAAATAATTATTCAGTCTCAAAATTATCGGGAAAAATATCTGTAAACACGTTTAAACGGATTGATGAATGGCTGTGGCCAAACCTTGTCGGCTTTTGAATCGAAGGGTGATTAATCGAAATACCCTGTGATCTCGAAACGTAGATCGTTGATCATTTATCGTCGGCGATGATTTATACGGCCGCTAGTTCGCTATAAATACTAATAGATTGTTTAAAGATTCCGTTCTCACTTTCTTCGTAGCCTGGCCCATAGAAGAAAATCGTCCGGTTGCCAAAAAGCCATGTGCAGTTCCCGTTGTGTAAAGGCACGAATTCACCATCTATGTAACTGCAATTCATTATCTGAAAGAAAAAACAAACGAAAATATAAAATGTTTTATATATGTTTGAACTGAGCAAGAAACAATACTATACTTTAAAATAGGAGAAAGACGCCAATAGAGATAAAGAGTGAACAAGAACGAAATAAATATTGAGAGTGAAAGAGAGCAAGGAAAAACATGTGAACAAATATATAATTAAATAGAAATATATAATTACAAATTTCGGGGATAGATATACATATTGATCGATAGGGACAAAGGAAAGCTACGTTAGCGGTTTTGGGCTCGAAATTCGCACAGTCCACTACTCTACAAAACTCGGTTGTAGTAGGTTAAAAATACGGCCAAGCAGAATCAAGAAGTGATTCATTGAGAAACAAAACTATTTCCCTAGACCTTGGAAAACTCAAAAATGCGAAACGAAAGGAAAGAAAAGGTTTGGAGAAAGATTTCGCCACAAAATATAACTAAAACCGTACGATTTCCGGAAAAGGAGATATCCAATTTAGAAAAGCGTTGTGACAATTGCGTGAGTACACATATATCTTCTAATTCTTTACCTTCCCTAATAAAAATAATACTAATATACTCCTCTCAATAAAATAAAATTTCTAATAACTTTAATTTCAAATTCTTGGACTCGTGTAATAAATCTAGGTTAAGTCCATAAATGTTGCTTTCGTTTTAACAAGACTTATATTTTTCTCGTTTTCTTCTTTTTATATTTTGCGTAACAGTACTGGACGAGATTCTCTGGTTATACACCTGTAAGCATTGAGTAGATGCAAAAGAAATGAAAGGCAGAAGAAGGGTGAGAAGGAAAGAAAGTGATAGCTAGATAGTTGGATAGATAGAGCAAGAGAGATAGATAGATAGATATATAGATAGATAGATAGAGAGAGAGAGAGAGAAAGAGAGAGAGAGAGAGAGAGAAAGAAGGAAAGAAAAAAAAATTGATTAAGTCCTGGCGACAGGTTCCCTTAAGGACAACAACAACAAACAATTCAAATATTGCAAAGAGTGGGGGAGAGAGAGAGGCAGAGAGAGAGAGAGAGAGAGAGAGAGAGAGAGAGAGAGAGCGAGAGAGAGAAAGAGAGAGAGAGGGGGAGAGGAATAGGGAGAAAGAGAGAGAGAGAGAAAGAGAGAGAGGGAGAGGGATAGGGAGAGAGAGAGAGAGAGAAAGAGAGAGAGAGAGGGAGAGTGGTACATGAGAGAAAGTGAGAGTGATAGATAGATAGATAGATAGATAAAGAAAGAGAGAGTGAGAGAGCGAGAGAGAGAGGATAGATGAGAGAAAGAGAGAGAGAGAGAGAGAGAAGAGAGCGAGAGAGAAAGAGAAAGTGAGAAGAGAGCATGAGAGAGAGCGATAATGAAGGATTTTTAATTTAACTTCAAAATTGTTGTAAACGATAGATCAATTTTACTGTCTCTTGAGATTCAGCAGTGACAATTTTTTTTGTCAGTAAACTAATAAGAGTCACGATGCAAGCAAAAAAATACTTATAGCCAGAGAATGTCGCCATTCAGGACATCAACATATTTTTTGACAGTCGTAATTTCTGAATGAGATTTTCTTGAGAGCAGAAAAATGGGCAATAAATAAAACTGGCTGATAGAAAATTCTTACGTTTACTTTTAATATTATAATAAAATTGTGGACGAATCTCTATTCATTATAGCCGACAATACTTTCCTTTTTTGCACGATCATAATTTCACCGACAATACCCACTGCATAACAATTTAAAATTAACCATGGGTCAACATAAACCCGTTATTTTCCCAAAGTGAAAATTAGATTAGTCGTTTAATAAGTTTCAAGTTATCGAACCGTGAGAAACCATTATACAAATCCAAACCTAATCCGAATAATTAGAAACTTCACAAGGTTTACGAATCGATGTAAGAAGCGTACAAATATTTAATCCATAGGGGATAATTAATATTCCAGTTTATATTAAATGCTCATTTAATCTTTGGATCTTTGTGCTTGGTTGGACAATCAAACCCCATCTATTGAATTAAACTGTTTTGTTTTGTTTTATACAATGATGTATTATACAATTTATGATAACCGGTACGTTTTATATGACAAGGAACTAGAAACAAATCCAGTACTATTTTCAGAATTAAAGGTAGAACCTTGTTTCTTCTTTTACGGATCAACAAAAACCTAAAATTATGTTTCGGGTTAGAACTAAGTATGTGCAGAAAGCGTACTTTTAAAATAAAAAATTTATTTGAATCCGGTACAAATAAAAATAAATATTACTAATATTGGCGTTAGGTTTTTCTCTCCCGGTCACAACACTAGTGACCATTGTTCTTGGTCCAATCTTGTTAAAAAAATCACAACATATTTCTTTTCAGATGGACAGCAAGGAAAAAATCAAGGCAGCCCAAATATACCTTCTGACAAAATTGGCCAAGGATGTGCAACCCAATTAAATCTTCCTTCTTTTACTCTTCCCAACCTTTTTAACAACAATATTTCTTTTTATATACAAAACGTATTTTCGGAAGGTAAAAATTTGAAATAAAATCGGGCACTAGGGTGCGAAAACCTAGTGGTGACTCATCTAGTAGTGACTATGATTCGCTGCCCAACAGGTCGCGAGCACTACCGCTTTAAACTACGGGAAAGATTATTGGGGTTAGTACGAGTTAGTACCTAAGGGTGTAATGAAACGATTTTGTTGAATTTTATGACATCTTTCACAAAAGCAATATTAAGGTCATTAAAGATTGTGTGGTTGCATACATAGAAGGGAATATTGAAGAACTTTGAATTGAGAAATCTGGAAGGGATTATAGTTGGAATGTCAGTCGAACGAAACAGTTGATGCCGTATGCCCAAACGGGCTTAACTGTCATTTGTTCTGAAGTATCAGTTTTGTATTTTATAGACGACAAGAAAGTGTTTTCTAACTTCTAGCCAGTGCCTGGTTCGTTGTTGCGAACTTAGTTAACTAGTTAACTATAAGGAAGGGATATATGATGTAGGTATAGAGGTGTTATTATTTCTCATCGAAGGGTAAAAGTTATGCGTTAGTTTTCTCAACANTCTATCTATCTATCTAACCCTCCCTCGATAGCATTTGAGGATTTTCAGGTATAAAAGAAGTAGAAAGCAAGAGAGTAAGAGTGAAATAGAAAGAGAAAGATACAAAAATATTAAAATATAAAACTTAACTAGGTAAAAATACAAATATTGTGTAAATAAATATATAAAAGAGACAAAAAAGACAAAAGGGTAAGAAATAAAATACAAACCTTTGTAAAGAACGAGTGAGAATGTTTAACAATTGAATTGCAGTACTAGAAAGCATCTATAATGCCACGCAATGCGTGCAAATTTAATGAGTGGTCGGCAATAGGAGTCGAGGAGAGAAACGAGCTGGAATTCACTAAGTTTGGAAGTACCCAGGTAACCTATAGGCCATACGGAACTCGGCGAGAATAGGACATATTGCTAAATAATGAAATACGTCCTCCTTTCCATTTAGGCTACAGAGAGAGCAGCAATTTCTCGGTTCATCCATCGGGTGTAGTTAAGGTATTCTCAATTTGAATAGCCATCTTAACTGCCTAAGAGACCGACTAACTACTGGGCGATTCATTATTTTTAGAAAACAACTCGGTTGAATGTTTAGTGTTTATTTTCTATTATTCATTATGATAATTTTTGTACCATTTTTTATGCTATTTGTAGGAAAGCTATACAAATATGGCAAAAAATGGTTTAAAATAACAATAATGAACCTAATTCCAATCATATCTCTGACAACGATATAAGACGCCTTTCTTAAATTAAAATATTTTGTTTGTTTTGGCCATCTGTGTGACCCTGTTACTGTTTTCCCCATGTTGTCATATCCGCACCGTGTGTTTTTCCTTCTAGTTTCGCTCGTTTGCCATCAGTCATACGTATCTTGCCTCGGGGATCGATTGGGTGCAAAATTTACAATAGACGAAAATTTTTTCCCTGCTCTACTGACTTCTCGACTATGAACGTAGATCTAGGTCAAACGATCAGATTGTTTGTTTATCATTTATTTGATCCAAAAATAATTATTTAAAGAATTTACAATTAATTAAGGTATTNGTGAATTTATTTAAAGAATGTTTTTGTATTGCTGAATAGCGGGTTGCTGAACCTTGTACGCAGTTCAACAGGACAAATTGACCAACTGAGGATGGTCCAATGTCAAAAAGTGTAAGGAGCAAAGCATTCACTGAATTATCTGTGTACAATCGAAATATTTTAGTACTTGTTAAAAAGTTTAAGGAAAAGTACAACAGAGAGGGGTATACACTTTTGATGACAGTTCATTAATAAATTAATCGATAATTCTCAAGAAAACAAAAAATTGCCCCTTTCACCATTCTATTTGCTTTTATCAGCTGTCACGTATGGCGGAGCAAGCACGCAGCAATGAAATTGGGTTCCGAGTATCGAGTTTCCCACGTACGTTGCTCAACGACAACTGTCATAATAAATGCAGGTTCTTCTGACAAAACAAGTACGTGAGCACGCGCTTATTCCCAATGGAATCGCCAAGCGGAGCGTTAAAAATAAAAAATGAATAAATATTCCGTTAAAGGCTTATATGTTCAGCATACCAAAATAATCTGTTTGGTAGGTGTGCATGTTGGATGAAACAACCCCAAAAGCAGATTATTTATGTCTAACACGAACTGATGTACAGCTAACCCCTTGCATTTTTCAATCAATTGTCAATGCAATTGATGTCTGCTGCGAGATGACCTGTAGTTTGGTCATTTAAACGATTAAGCTGGTCTGCCAGTCTCAGTATAGAATCGACTAAGTAAAATAGTACAGAAATAATTTTAAATGGCGAAAGGCCAAGTAACGTCTGTCGGACAATAACAACAAGGACAGGGGTACATCAGGTTTTGGTACGTCCATACCAGCTTCTCATGTACCGTTGCAGAGGTCGTTTAGTTTTCAATGAACAACCAATGATTCCGTTACGATTTGCTACCAGACACCGTTTTA